ATTACAATAGCATTGCTACATTTACCTGTTATAATTAATCTCAAAACTTTCGTTTATATTAACCAGTTAAGAGTCGCAGATGCTCAGATTTAGGTTTGTTTTTATTGTTACCAGTTTTATCTTTATGTTGCTTGGTTCTTATAACAGTTGATTGAGAAACATTTTCCTTGTCTGCTATATAGCAGGAAGGAAAATTTTCATCAAATAAGATACAAATCCTAACTCTTTTTTCAACAGAAAGATAAACCATAGATATTTTATAAAATTACAAAGAGGCGAAAAATGCCATAAGGCATCTTTTTTATATATGTCGCATAGTTGTTTTGAAGCAAAAAAAATCGCGTAATAAGTATTGATATTTATTTCTTAAATTGATCAAAAGAAATGCATTGCTACTTTGGTGAAAGATTCATAATAAAAAAAAATATTCTTAAAAAAAAGATGAAAGAGATTGATAAAAATTAAGGTATAACAAACTCTATATTTAAGTTTTGTACACAGTGCCTTTTAAATTACAAGATATTTCCATTTTAAATTTTGTATTCAGATGATGCAATACTTTTGATTGCCACTGTATTTCTCTTAGATCAGTATAGATTTTTTTAATTCTTTTTAGTTAGTTATATATCTGAAAATATATATTATAAAATTTTGGCTAATTATATGATTCTTACAGTTAAATCTTATATGAAAAATCAAAAAATTTATTTTTTAAGAGGATAACACATCTGTTTATACTTCAAAGTTATACATTTCTTAATTAAATCTTCAAATATTAAATTACTTTCTTGGTTAGCTCAAAACTTTAATATAAATCTAATATAAAATATTTAGTTGTATATTAAGATTAGGATTCATCAATATGATTCTTAACTATTAATTATTATACAATTAAACAGTGAATTTTAAAGGAATGGGATATAATACTTATAAATTATTATTATAATTTAATCATAATATTGTATTAGGTTCAAGCTATTCTTATAGCAGAGAATCAGCATCTCTAGCTCATTCTATAAGGTATGAATCTTTATTATAAATTATACTATAATAAATTTTAGTTTAGCATTAGCCAAATATAGATTATAGAATTATTTTACTGTATATTTTACTAGTTAAATTTCAAGAATAAATTTCATGGATATATGCAAACTATGCATATGTATAGATCACAAATTTGTAGAATATAATGATCCTTAAAGCTATTTATATGATAATATTATTGTTTTAAGCTTTTTTAGTAACAGGTAAAAGTTATAATTAGTAAATCTATTAGAACTATCATGAAAAATAAACTAATAATGTAATATGCTAGTCTGTAATAGGTAAGTATCATATTATCTGCTTAGGGTTAACCTTAGAGTAGCATCTAAGAGTAAACATATAAAATAATAGTATAAGTTATAATTTTAGGCAGTTGATATTATATTATCTTTAGACATTATATGTTGAGATCCTATATTAAGAAGAGATTAGGTTCAATTTTTAAGTTATTTAATAGTATAGCGAGCTTAGTCATTCCTATATCTGAAATAAAATATCTTACTTAATCTTTCTATCTAGTAATATGATTAAATACTTAATAATGCTAAAATACTATCTGTTAGTCTATAAAGGCTTTTAGTTGAGATTTTATTTTAGTATAACATTTATTAAGCTGATTATTGAATACATTTAGTATAGGTAAAATAAACTTACAAGAGTGATAAGTAAACAAAATTATTGTAATTTAAAGTCTAATTTAAGACTTTTATTAATAAAATAGCTGAGCTTATAATCAGATCAGTAATTAAAATAAAAATTATTCTTATAGTAAATGATAATTCAATAAAATATTAACCTAAAATTTAATAATATAAAAAAAAAAATAAAAGAAATAAATTATTTATATTATAATAATTTTTTAAAAAACAGCTAATAATTTTTATACCCTCTCCTTTATATATAAAATTAATTAATTTAATATACTATTAGAATTTTCACTAATGTAAATAATTTTGATCAAAATATATGTATTGTCAAAACTTAAATGTGCAAAAAATGATTAATAATTTTATACAAATATTAAAACATTTTTTAAAATAATTAATAATTATATATTAAAAGTAATACTTATCAATAAAGATAAAGCAATTTTTTAAGTTATATAAAATACTTTTAGTTATAATAATAAGCATATATTACATATATGATATTTGTGAAAAAAAATTTAAATAGCATATTGAAAATACATTAGTTTAATTTCACAAAGCTTTTTATAAATATATGTAAAATTGATAATTTTATGATTAAATGGTAATAAATTTTCTGAATTTAAAAATACATTTAAATAAAATAAATAAATAAAAGAAAATAAATGCTATTTTGAATTACTAGTTGTTAAGATATAACTGGTTTAATTTTACTATATAATATATATTATAGATTTATATATGAAAAATAATTTCATTAATATTAATTCATTTGAAATAAAATAACTTTATTTAATTTATCATATAGAAATAAATTCAACGAGATATACTACATTATTTATTGATCACTAGATATTAAAATATCTTAAAAAACTGTTTTTTTAATTTTTTTAATGTAATCTATGACCTGATTTATGATCTGAATCAATCTAATTCATTTAGAGTTCTACTTAAAAATTTTCTAATAATTAGTAGAAAAGTATTTAGAATTTAAAGTATAAAAGATAAATACCCTTAAATATAAAACTTAATATCTAAATAAGTACAAAAAGTTAACATTCTTAATATAGAATTCAACTTATAAACAAAATAGAAATAAGAAGAAAATAGTAGTAATTTGATTATAAAGTGATAATAAAATTATACAAATATAAAATACAAATAATAGAAAAGAAATAATTAGAATATAAAAAAGATAGCCAGTAAAATATAATATTAGCATATAAGAGAAGCAGATAAGTTATGAAAATAAATTATAAAGTAATTATCAGATTATAAATATTAAATCATAAAGTAGTAGTAGGTTATAAAGAGGTAATCAGATTATGATTATATTAACTAGATTATAGAGTTATAGAGTGGTAATCAGATTATGATTATGTTAATCAGATTATAGAACAATTAGATTATGATTGTGTTAGTCAGATTATGAATTATAGAATAGTATTAAGTTAAAGGATGATATTATAATATAATCTAAGTAATATACTACCTTTTAGTGTATATATAATATAAATATTTTATTTAAAAAAAAATAATATTAAATTTGATTATTATTCATTAAATAAAATTATAATAATTTTAATTAATAAAATTTTAAAAATTTATTTTATATATACATTTAGTTAATAAAAAAGATTAATTATATTAATAATATAGATTTTTGATTTTTAATTTAATAAAATAAAACAAATTTTAATTTAAAGAAAATTTTTAAAAATTATATATTAGATATAATAGATTTTATTCAAAAATAAAATTCTTTGTCAAGTAATAGTAGATTATCAATCCCCTTGATATACAAGGAAGAATATTTTTATATTGTGAATTATATGAAGAATTAGCCAATCATTTTCATTGAACAGTACACATTGACAATCCTTTGAAAGTTGCGGCGTAGTAAAAAAATAATTTATAAAAAAGGGCTTTAAAAAACTGGTGTTACATAACTTGAACAATAGGCGATGACGGTGGTTTTGTCATTATGCACTTTAGCCAAACTTTTTTAGGTTCTAAACAAAACAATCATTACCTTTAAAGATTTTTTTTTTTAATTTCTTTCGCTCAAATCTGGAATTGTTTGTCTATTCTGAGTCCCAAAGTCAGCCACCAAACCTTCAATTTTTTTTTATACAATCAAATAAAAATGGAAATGAAGGCAAGATTTCTGCTAAATGATCAAGGGGTAAAAGTCAAGGAATGGAAACTTTGGTATAGTTGTCCAGTATATTTGATCGATCCAATAAAAAGCCAAATATGTTGTAACTAATTAATTGATTAAACCCTAATTGGACCTATTGTGATCTCTGGCCAGTGGGTAAAAATGGATAAAAAATCTTTACTTTCCTGTTTATTAATTAATACACGATAAGAAAAGACATTCTGATCTATCCACGAGAGAAAATTTTTTGATAATTTTTCACTTCATAAAATTAATTTTTGGTAGTTTCTTAGCTCAATTATTCTTTGACGATTTTGGATAATTTATGAATATGGTATAATAATTGAAATACCTAAATATTTATATACTTTGAATGCAAATTAAATTGAATTGTTACCATGGATCGACGAAATATTTTATTGTGCATTTAACGATGCTTAACAGCCCGACTTCTGCTTACCCCTCACGTAGTGTAGCCGCAGATGATGCTGTACTTCAAATGTTTATGTCTACAATAAAATGATCAAGTAGCGTAAACCAAGAAACTCGTTCAACGTTGCAAAAATATTGGGTTTACATAAAGAAAATTTGGGGTTCATGTTTATCTTATCACTACAATATATTTTGTCAGTTGGATTTTGTGACAGTATAATTGATTTTCGATGCGTTTGATTATCCAATATATTCCAATTTGTGAAGGTGGTTGTTAAATTAAAAATGTTGTAATATGAAAAATTTTCCTAAATTTTATAATTGTAACATTCCCCCAAAATTTGATTGAAGGATAAAAAAACTTTTGTTTGATTGGTGCTTAACGATTTCTGCAATAATCCACCATCTGCAACTCCATATCTAGTTGAGTGAGTTGTTTTTAGTGCTGCTCTCGTGCTGTTGTACTTCGTTGTCGACTACGCGTACAGTAGTACTACAAAGAAATTTTTAAAGGCAAACTTTTTTCGTTGACTTGTTTTTTCCGCTTTTCTTCCTTTGATTCATTTTCAAAGAGATTAAAAAAAAAAAAAAATTTGATTTTTGACCCCCCTATTAAAAATCTAAACGTTGTAATAAAACCTTTTTTTTTTTTTTCATTGGTGCTCCTCACTACTTTACAGTTTTAAAACCGTTTCCCCCCATAAAAAACTTTTCATATGACCATGAGAGAAATTGTTCACTTACAAACCGGCCAATGTGGTAACCAAATAGGTGCCAAATTTTGGGAAGTAATTTCAGATGAACACGGTATTGACTACTCTGGTACTTATACTGGTGATTCTGACCTTCAGTTAGAAAGAATCTCAGTATATTATAACGAAGCCGCTGGTGGTAAATATGTTCCACGCGCTGTTCTCGTTGACCTTGAACCTGGTACCATGGACTCTGTTCGCGCTGGTCCTTTCGGACAACTTTTCCGTCCGGACAACTTTGTCTTTGGTCAAAGTGGTGCCGGTAACAACTGGGCTAAAGGTCATTACACTGAAGGTGCTGAGCTCGTAGACTCTGTATTAGACGTTGTCCGCAAAGAAGCAGAATCTTGCGACTGCTTACAAGGTTTCCAAATCACCCACTCCCTTGGTGGTGGTACTGGTGCTGGTATGGGTACTTTACTCATCTCAAAAATTCGTGAAGAATACCCAGACCGCATGATGTGCACGTTTTCGGTAGTTCCCTCACCAAAGGTACTTTTTCATATTTATCGCGTTAAAGCGTATACATTTATTTATTATTCTTTTTGACTCTGTGACGCGTTAAAAAGATATTATTTTTCATATATTAATTAAATCTCTTTATTTTCTTTTACGAACATAGGTATCTGACACTGTCGTCGAACCATATAACGCGACCTTATCAGTGCATCAGTTGGTCGAAAATTCTGATGAAACTTTCTGTATCGATAATGAAGCTTTATATGATATTTGCTTCCGTACATTGAAATTGAGTACGCCAACTTATGGTGATCTCAACCATTTGGTATCTGCTGTAATGAGTGGTATTACCACATGTTTACGATTCCCTGGTCAATTGAATGCTGATTTGAGAAAATTAGCTGTCAATATGGGTAAGTTTGTTTTTACGATTAAATTCATTTTATTTTCTTTTATTTTTTTTTTTCAAAAAAAATATATATATATATAATTAATTATTCCTTGTATTACAGTTCCTTTCCCTCGTCTTCATTTCTTTATGGTCGGATTTGCCCCATTGACTTCTCGTGGATCTCAAGGTTATCGTGCCTTGACTGTCCCAGAATTGACTCAACAAATGTTTGATGCCAAAAACATGATGGCAGCCTCAGATCCTCGTCACGGTCGTTATTTGACCGTTGCCGCTATGTTCAGAGGTCGCTGTTCAATGAAGGAAGTTGACGATCAAATGTTATCCGTTCAAACAAAGAACAGTTCATACTTTGTTGAATGGATCCCCAATAATGTTAAAAGTAAGCGATATTTTTTTTTTTTTTTAAAAATTTTCTTTTCTAATATACCTTTCTGACTTTGTTGCTTATTTATTTATCATTACCTTAAATTATAGCCGCTGTTTGTGACATTCCACCAAAAGGTCTCAAGATGTCAGTTACTTTCATCGGTAACTCAACATCGATTCAAGAGCTCTTCAAACGTATCAGTGATCAATTCACTGCTATGTTTAGGCGTAAGGCTTTCTTGCATTGGTATACCGGCGAGGGTATGGACGAAATGGAATTCACTGAAGCAGAATCTAATATGAACGATTTGGTTTCCGAGTAAGTCATTCTTATATCTTTTGTTAATTAAGTTTGTAAATTTTAAGTTTTTCAATCATCAATTTTAACATTATGCTTTCTTGTAATCTTCTAGATATCAACAATATCAAGAAGCTACTGTTGAAGAGGAGGAAGCAGAATATGAAGAAGAATTAGAACAAGATGCCGACATCTAAAAATAATAATAATAAATCGCATTTTATAAACCACATTCATCAAACATCATTTTTTTTTTTTTTTCCTTCAATTTATAATGAATTCTTTTATTTTCCTTTATAAACACGTTTTCTGTTTTTACTAAAAAAAATTTAAATCCATAGCTTTTTTTAATCCAAATAAAAAGGAAGTGTCATTTCAATGTGTTGTTTATAATTAATATTAAGTGATAGTATTAAGTTATATATAAATTTAAATAGATTTTATTTTTATTTAACAATAATCAGTTTTTACAAAAAGTAACAATTTTAAATAATAAAGTTGTACAAATTATTCTTTATCTGTTTTTTTTTTTTCAAGAAACTCTTCCTTAAACAAACAAAAAAAAAAAATAAGAAAAAAAAATTAAAACGTAAATAAAATCTTCGATTCTACAATAAAATCAATTTTTATTTTTAGAATAAAATCGAATTAGCCAATTAGATAATAAAATTTCGATTATTTAGATATGATTGTCAAATGATTGCACTAAAACTTCTTGCATAAACTTCTCGAGAACCGCCAAATTTCTAGTAATGAGACTCGTTTGGATTTGGGCTTTTTACATGAGTCACATCATGGGCGAAATTTGTCAAGTTTTTTTTTTTTTTTTGTTTTTAAGAGATCAAGTTGTTTATAAAATAAATCTTGGAAAGTTGATTCTTCACGGGTTAGAAAGGTTAGAATGAGAACATGCAACTTTGAAACTAAAGTTTGATTGGTAAAAGAGTGATCATAATAATTATTAAATTGGAAAATCATTATAATTTTGGAATTCATTTTATCGCGTGTAAAAAATATATTTAAAAGAAGGATCATCTTTTTTTTTTTTTTTTTTTCCTCGGTTTTTTTTTTTTTTGTCTTTAATTTGTTATTTTGTTATTTTGTTATTTTATATTTATCAATTTTAATAATGAAATTAAATAATTTTATTATCTTATTTCCTGATTTCTTTACTATTATTACTACAGTTATAATTTCTCAAGGTAATAAAGAAAAAAAAAAGTTCGCGTTGAAATTGAAAATAATCTAAAATCAAGCATATAAATCTTTTTTTTAAAGTTATTACCACGTGTTATTATGCTTATAATGTATTTGGTAGACTTCAAATGCAACTTCGTCGTACTTTATTAACACCAGCGGAAAGAGAGTCGTTAGCATATGATATACCACAAGCTGGACCCATGGTAACATTGTTATCTTATTTATATTTATCATTCTCGCTATTCTACGATAAAATGATTCAATTTCTTAAAAAATTATTTTTAAAAGGCAAGTATCGTTGCTACCATTATCTTGACTTTAATTGTTCATGAATTACAATACTTTTATGAAATTGAAAATTATTCGACCGCAATTACTATGAATTTATTCTTATGGCTTGGTAAGTGAATTATCATTTAAAATCATTCAATTTAATCCTTTATGTAAAACATCTTATTTTATTTTTTTTATTTTTCATCCTTTATACTTTAATAGCCGCAAGTGCTTTGTCATTTACGCGATACATCTCTTATAACTTGACCGCGTCATTATTTTTTATTGACACGATACACGATTGTCTCCAATTGATAGGAATAGCTATAACGATACAATATTTTCATTAATAATGATTCTTTAATGGTTTTTTTTTAAAGTATAATGAGAATGATCATGGGATAAATACATTTAATCAAATAAAAAATTCTCGATTTTTTGTTTTTTCCTTTTTTTCTGATTTCTCTAATCTTTTCTCAACTCAACTCTTTCAACTGTAACACCACCTTGTTTGATGACAAAAATTTCAAGATAATCTCCAGTGTACATGTCCCTCTCTGACGCTGAAGTGAACGCATCTTTTGCAATACTAATAGCTGTATCCAAGGACATGTCAGTTCGTTGAACACCTTGCTGATTTTTGTGTCCAACCTATTAAATTATGACTTAAAACTTTAATACCTTAATAAAATAAACATTGAAATCAAAATATAATAAAATCCTTGCCTGATTGTCTAAAAATGGTAGAATCAACGCTGAGGCAGATCCAACAGACTTATAGGGTTCGGCTCCATAGGATCCCAATGGATCGTAACTATATGACACACCTCTACCTATATATATAATCAAGACATTTTGGATTTTTAAATATGTTTTCCAAATATTTTATATTTTATATTTTATACTTTACCTTGTTCATCGATCCCTCCTAGCAAGCAGAATGTGTAGTATGGAAAAAATCGTTTATAGTATAAAGTATTCGAAAGCATTTGAGCTATTGCTGGCGTTGACATTACCTTATCGTGAGCGTGTTTATACCACTGGCAAAAAAAAAAAAGATTTCATGAGAATTCAACAATTCAATGAATTGAATCTAATGTCAAATTTATCAACAACATATTTCATCGTACCTCCAAGTTTTGACTAAGTTTCTTGAACAACGCGAGACCATCGGCGGAAAATCCACTTGTGGCCAACACCGCAGTTTCGGTTCTAGCTTGTCAAAGGATCAAAAAAATCGTAAATTGAAATGTATAAAATCACTTTCTTAAAGAAATAAATCAAATTAATTACAATTTAAAAGCTTTGGGTACATAACGCGAATTTATTTTATAACCATCGCTTTGACGGGTATCGGAAGCAATCAAACAGTAGTCAGCACCTTTAATAACTAACGATGAACTATTTATTATTAAAATTTAAGTTTCAAATGCTATATCAGTAACTTTCTTTCAGACATTGAGGCAGACACTTTAGCTTTTTTTTTTTCTAGTTTTGCATATAAAAACAGTCTGTAAAGATAAACAGTACCCGCCATTCATCTCGTATGGATCAAACTGATGTTGTTGAGCTGCAGAAATTGGAGCATCGTGATTATATAAAGCGACAGGATTCATTGCGAGAAAAGTAGAGAGTTTCTTTTTTTTTTTCCTCATTTATTTAAAGTTAGTACCGTTATTTATCACTCCCCAATTTGGACTATGAAAATCCCAGTTTGACCTCTTATATGTCACTAGATCGGCATAAATGGCACATGCACCAACTTCGTAATCGAAGTGCGTCATTCATCTCATCAAATATATAGTTATATAATTTTTTTTCAAGGTATCATTTTGTTTTTACGTTTTATGGTTTATTATAATAATGGATTCTATTGTTAATAAATTCAAGAGGTCAACGTCAACATGGGGAGACCACAACATGCTTGTTAATTTTGACGTTACGAAAGAATTTTCTTTACCATCGTTTGACATTCCTCCTTGTCATAATGTACGTGCTTCTAGTAAAAAAAAAAAAATATATTTATCAAATTCCTCTCCAAAAGGTTTAATTAATTAAAACTTATTATTAAACCTTTATTAGCCTATTGAGTTTTTGAAACATAATACAGACGAAAAATCAAACGCTGAATGTCGAATTAAGTTTAAGCATGGTACTACAACTCTTGCGTTTAAATTCCAAGGAGGTATTATAGTCTCTGTTGATTCGCGTGCAACTGCTGGGTCTGTCATTGGTGAGTTAAATGTAATTCTTTTATTTTCAAAAGCAATGTGGTAATTTATCTTTAAAATAATTTAGTTACACAGAACATTAGAAAGATTATCGAAATAAACCCATATCTTTTGGGAACAATGGCCGGTGGTGCCGCCGATTGCACATTCTGGGAGAGAGAACTAGGTAGACGTTGCAGGTAAGATGAATTTAATTTCAAGATTTTAAATATGATACAACTAAATGTTAAATTTTTTCTTTTCTTTAGATTATACGAATTGAGAAACAAGGAACGAATTTCCGTATCAGCAGCTTCCAAGTTATTAGGAAATATTGTTTATTCATTTAAGGGAATGGGACTTTCAATGGTATGTAAAAAGGTGTCAAAAGTAACTTTTTGAAATTTGTTGATTAACGAAAGAATTAATATATCCAGGGAACTATGGTTGTCGGTTGGGACAAAACTGTGAGTATAATATTTTACACTACATCTTATGATATATGATAGATATTAAATAGTTGTAATTGATAGGGACCAAATATTTACTACGTGGATGCGGATGGAACTCGCTTGAAAGGAGATTTATTCTCAGTTGGATCCGGGTCTCCATTTGCTTATGGAGTGTTGGATAGTGCATATGATTTTGATATGTCTGCACATGATGCTGCTGAACTTGGACGTCGAGCGGTGTATCATGCTGCCCATAGAGATGCTGCTTCCGGTGGTAACATTCATGGTATGTTATAATTTTTCTTTATGCCCTTCAATCCTCATCATTTGAAAAAGTAACTTAAATAATTTCTCTTTTTTAAAATATTTTTTTTGGCATTAAAATTTAGTATACCATGTAAAACAATCTGGATGGGAAAATTTAGGATTTCGAGACTTTGATGATTTGCATTGGGAATATCAAGATCAACCAAAACCAAGTATAATTGGAGACGTACAGCCAATGATGCTGAATATTCAAGATTAAAAATTTATTTACATCAAATAGATTTTTTAAAATTCTCTAATTGTAAAAAAAAAAAAAAAAAAAAAAATTAACAAAATAAAATAAATTTTATCTAAATGTTACACAACATTAAATATAAGTTATTTCCTTATATGGCTTTGGGTTTTTTTTTACTTTCCCTGTAATTACTTTCCCTTTTAAATAAAAAAAAAAAAAATGTCTTCAAATGTTTTATATACAACGCATAATATTCGTTATTTACGAATTTCAGAAAAACAAGTGTTACCTCTAATAATTTATCTTCGTCAAGAAAATCTTTTATGGTTTAATGACATTATATTTCAGGTAGATGTTTTCGAATAAGCGTTAAACGCGTCGATTAAAATATTAATTCATTATAATTTTATAGGAAATACTTTCAGCTTTACAAAGAATAATTCCAAAGAAATTTTCGCGAAAAAAAAAAAATGTTAGTAATAAATCACTTTCAGATATTTACCGCGGATGTAGGTATATCAATATTTGATAAAGATTTACTTTATTTTATAATTTTTATAATATAATTTTCTTATCGTCCTATTTAAATTCACAGCAAATTTCCAATTCGCTTATTATATTAAACCTACTGAAGTTAAACATTCTATATTAATAAAGGTCTGATTGCGCATTTTTCCTTTTACATTACCTTTTAATGATATTAATATAATACCTCTTTTAATAGGATAAAACTTCGATTTTTCCTTCAGATAAAATGAAACTTTCTGTATCAAAATCGCAAATGGAACAAGAAAATATTAATGATTCGAGAGCAGATCCATCACCAATAAATACTAAAGATGATGATGATGATGATGAAAAACCAAAGTTTAATCTTACATATCAAGGATATAATATTTTTAGAAAATCTTTAGTGCTAATAGTTGAACCACTTGACAAAATCATTGAATTCGGTGATAATGTTCAAATTGCTACAGCAATGACGATTGATGATTATTTTGGTAGAGATGACGAAAGTGAATTATAATTTTTATTATGATTAAATAATTATTATGAAATTACCATGATAAATCTTCTATATATTATATATAAAAAATAAAAATGGACCTTCTTAAACGGAGAGATTCCTCAATTCTCAAATTTACTTTTTTAGTCATGATCCTCTTCCTCATAACCAGGGCATTCCTGATCCATTTCTTCAGCACTCCCGTATTCACACCCACACCAGAAACAATATTGATACTTTTCTCGCAAGTACCTCAAAACACAATCTAGTTGCTCTCGAGGCTGTAAAAAAAAAAAAAAAAAATTTAATTGATTGGAATAATGAAAAATAATAATGATACAAAAATTCGATTCATATGTTCATACTTCAAGACCTTCAAAGCCTTTGGCTTTTCTCTCTTCAATTTGGTCTTCTTTATCTTCTACAACTTGCTCTTCAAATAATATTTTGTCCTCGTCGTTATTGTTCTCTAACTCATCGTCTATTGTCTCCTCATGTCGCCAATAAATATTATCCTTATTTTAAAATAAAAAGAAATAATTAAAGTAATAAATTTATTGTTAATGTAAACATTGAATTGAATTCCTGTTCTCACCTCGATTCCCTGTTGTAAATAAGAAATATTTAATACATGTGGAAGGTTAAATCATTGGCAAAATTTATTGCATATAAATTTTAAACGGTTACATGTTTCGTGTCCAATGTCTCGCATATGGTTTGTAATTTTCTAAGCTGTCCTTTCACGCGTTTGTCAAGTTTTTCTTGACGGACACGTTCACGAAACGAATCCTCTTCAACTCTCGTTCGTTTTGCAACTTTGGCGAGTTCAACCTGGGCTTTATGCTTTATTTCAGTAGCCATACCTAAACCAAGCTTGTCTAAACGAAATCATTATAAATTGTTTTTAATTGAGCTACAAAAACTAATATTGCTAAACTAGTGTAATAAAATACCTTGTTTCAGTTCAATATTCAATGGTTCCGTCCTTCCAATATTGCTAGGATCTTTTCCCAAACCCTTGCCTTGCTCGTAACCCATCTTTTTAAGTATTTTCAAACCCGGCGATTCATTCTCTTCGGTATCAATCCGTTTAGCGAGAGCTTGGTCACGATGTTCCTTTTCAAGTTCAAAACGAGGTTTATTATAACCTTTATTTGATAATTTTTTCTGACGACGTCGTTCAGAGTAGGTTAGAGATGGTGAAGGTTCAGGTGGAGGTTCGGTTAGGAACTTTGATGACATATAGTCGTCCGAATCAGACATTTTTAGGTAATGGTAATAATGAAAAAACGCGAAACATCCAAATTATTGAACATTATCACGTGATAATCAAATGTCAAACTTGAACATATTAATAATTTTTGTACTACCCAAAGGTTAATACTGATATAAGGAAATTTGTTGTCTTTTTTTAACTTATCAACTTAAAAAAATTTTTCTACAAAATGCCCGATGAAAAGAAGCTACCATGGGGAATTAATTCAACAAAACCGGGTTCCGCTAAGGTATAATATATCCGATGAAAAAATACAACCTCAGTTTTAACGACATTTGGTTTTGCACAGTTTCTGATCTTCCTCCTCGGATGTTTTAGACCTTAACAAAAACAAAATTACAAGCTTTCAGTATTGGTACACATAAAAAGACACCTTTTCAAAAACACAAGGAAGAACTTGAATTAAAGAAAAAGGTAGTGTCTATCTACAAAAAAGTTATTATGAAAGGAATTTTTCCGAAGCTTAACTTTGAAATTTATCTCGAATTTTTAGCAAGAATCTGAAGAAGCCGCAAAAGTCTATGCTGAATTTGTTGCATCGTTTGAAAAAGAGGAAGGTGCAGGAAAGACATTCGTTAAAGGCGAAACTATAGTACCGAAACGTTAGCATTTCATGGTTTTATCTACCTTAATTACTATTGATTTAAAAAAAAAAGTTTAATAATTTATTTTTTCATTTAAAGTGTTGTTTGATCATGATGCAGTCATTACAAAAAAGGAAGTTACCACCACTTCCACTTCAGCACCTAAACTTTACAAACCACAACCTTTTATTACTGCCTCAAAACCTATACAACCGGAAATAAAAATTGAGAATTCCGAGGAAAATCCCGAAAAGGAAGAGGTAAAGATATCTCGATCGTATTTGAAAGATCAGCTGAAATATATTAACAGTATTCATTCATCAAGGATGAAGAAAAAAAGGAAGAAAAATCAAAAAGAAAACGTAATCTAGACGCTTTTTTGGAAGAAATAAAACGGTTAGTAAAAAAAAAAAAAAATGGTTTATGATTTGAAATTATTAAAGAAATTTGATTTTATTATAGTGAACAAGAGGAAAGAGAAGATCGTTTAAGGCAAAAGCATGCAAAGTTGGCGGGCGCTGGCTTATCATCTGGTAAATTTATTTCTTTTAGCATTTTTACAATTTAATTAACAATACATATTTAATATATGTATAAATAAGGATTTGTATGCTAGATACATAATTTATTGGTTTAATTTAGAGGCAGGTAGTGACGAATTCGCTCCTACCTCGCTCACCGTTAAAGCCGGTGAGTTTAGGCTCACTACAATCTGAATGTGCTATATCGAAATTTAACAATGTTTAATTAATATACTTCTCGGTTCCTTTTAGCATTTGAAGATAGACCGGGTTCACATGATACTGGAGATCCAAATACAACAAATTTATATGTTGGAAATATAAGCCCAGAGGTGAGCACACTTTTTAAGTGGCGGTCAATGATAATACTAGGATCAGAGGGATACTTTAATTTTTAATAATTCTTGAAAAGGTGAATGAAGAAATGTTATGTAAAGAATTTGCAAAATATGGTCCCATAGCTAGTGTAAAAATTATGTGGCCCCGTACCCAAGAAGAGAAAGATAGAAATCGAAACTGCGGTTTTGTTAGTTTTATGGACAGAGAATGTGCAGCTCAGGCTTTAAAAAATATGGATGGCAAAGAATTGCTCGGATATATTATGCGTGTTGGTTGGGGGAAAGCAGTTCCTATCCCACCAAAGCCTATTTACGGTAAGTTCTATAATCTAAAGGAATCCACGTTTACATGTCTTCTTTTAGTTACTCAATTATTCAATTAGTATTGAACGAAGGAGTTCGTCCTCCACCGAGTGGCTTACCTTTTAACGCGCAGATGATTCACACAAAAGGTGAATTCATTAAATATTGTAATCACTTAGTATTTTATCATTATCATTAATCCTTATTTCGATTTACATGTAGCATATACAAATGTACCACCGCCTGGCGCCTCTACGGTGGGTTAGATTTGTTTTTTTAGTATATTGGTAACATTGAACTCACCTTCATTTACTCACTTCAGGTTGCACCCAAGGGTCCTCGCCTTGAGGTTCATGTAACTCGTCCCGAAGATACTCAAATCGTTAAGATAATACATCGTATGGTAGAACGAGTTGTTAAGTTTGGTCCACCATTTGAGGTATTATAAAATTGTTTACGGATGCTATTATAAAGTTACATACTTATAGTAAATCTTCGATTAATTAATAAACACAGGCAATCATCATGGATCGCGAATGGAATAATCCAAAATTCTCATTTTTATTCCAAAATGACGTGCGTAGAAATTTGATATCAATTTAATTTATATATAATGAAACTTTTTTAACCATGGATATTTTTTTATTTGTTTTAGTCACTTGAGCACGTATATTATCGGTGGAGATTATACTCTATACTTCAAGGAGATCCCAAGAATAAGTGGCGCACCGAACCTTTTCATATGTTCGATGAAGGACCCATTTGGGCACCTCCCGAGATACCGTTTGATGAAGACGTTGGTATTATAGTATACCATCAACAGATTTTAAGTTTTTTTCTAGCTTGTCTTACCTATTCTTTTTGGGCAACAGGCAGCAGATGAATTATTAGATTCCGATGAAGAGGATGAACGTGAACGAGAACGTATACCTAAAGGAACTTTAGGACCTAAAGCAAGGCACCGCATGGAAGTAATGCTACGAAAATTGACCTTTGAACGAGGTGTCATTGCTAAATCAATGGCCTTTGCAATTGATCATTCTGACGCCGCAGATGAAGTACTGTACCAAATTGAACTAGTCGAGTAATTTAATTTTCATGTCCATTGCTATTGTTTTTGATACATTGAATATTTTATAGATTGTCGAGATTATATGCAAGACTCTCATGATCAAAGGAACGCCTATTCCCACTAAAGTTGCGCGATTATATTTAGTATCAGATATATTACATAATAGTAGCGTTTCCGTACCAAACGCTTGGAAATTCAGAACTGGGTAAGTGAATATAGGACCGACCTCTCTTTTTTTTCTTTATTTAAGACAATCTGACAATGCTTCTAACGCGTGATGCATTCAATTTATTATAGATTTGAGAGTAAATTGCCAGAAGTGTTTGAGCATTTGAACGAGATATATAGATCTATTGCGGCTAGATTGAAAGCAGAGACATTCAGGGTAAGCGACCAAGGGGGATTGAGATTCTTTACTTGGCGTTAATAATTTGTTCAACCTTGTCCAAAAGAAAGGATTCTTTTCACCTTTTATGCACATTTTCGAAACGAATCTCAATTTATGTTATTAATTCGATTTAACGATGTGGCTTTTACTCACCTCTTTCTTCGTGAAACTTTTAATCTTTAAATTTCTTTTAAAAACCACATCATAACAAACAAAAATTTATATAGCGTCAAATTACAACTATTCTCACCGTTTGGGAAAACTGGATCGTTTTCCCACAACCTTATATTGAATCATTAACAAATACATTTATGAAGAATACAAAACAAGGTGACAATCTCACGCATTCTTCAATACCACAATCAGCCACACCATCATCATCATCGTCAGTTGATGGCAACGTGAATAATGTTGATGGTGTGCCAATGAATATGGTTATTGATGGTGATTCATCAAATAAATCAAGTACAGGTGGTATATTAAGTGTAAGAACAAGATGGGACAATGATGAAGATGAGGATAATAATCAAAACAATGATAAGAAAAGTGTTCGAATAATGTCGGAAATAGAAGTGACGAGATTTAATGAGATCAAAGATGGTGGATCTAAAAGAATCAATTTAGGAGATGAAATGGACGACGAAGTGGATGACATTTTTGCTTAATTAATTAATTATATGTAATTTTTTTTTTTTTTTTTTTCTGTTTCTTTTTTATATACATATTGAATTGGCTTTTTGCATAATTGAAAGAAATTTTAACATATAATTTGTACACATAATCGGATAATACATCACAATTTTTGTAGCGTTTACTGTGGCTTTTAATTTGGGAAATCATTAAAAGTTCTTGAAATTTAAAGTAAAAAAAATTTCACAGATTTATGTACACCAATTATTATTATATTTACATGATACACCTTTCTTTTAATCTATTTAAATATTTCATAATTTCTTCATTCTTTTCATATTGATTTTCGTAAAAATAATCCAGGATTTTAGTTAAAGCTGACAGGTTTATGTCTTCATTTGTTTGCATCGTTTGCATTTGCCTTTTAAAATAATTGTATTAGTTAATAAATATAAAAATTTATAGAAATATATTATGGATTATCCATACCTTGATGAGGAATGATCATTAGACATTATACAAGCATTCAACTATTATGATATATAAAAAAATAAAAAATAAGTAAATAAGACATTTAAAAAGTTCTTTAAGAAAAATAACAATTCATTTACAATTTCTTCCATGAATTCTAATGATTTGGTTTTAGACCATAAGCCTAACGTTATATCTACTAGCACAAGATTACTTTTTAATATATGTCGATAACGCTCAAGACATTTGAGTACTTTTTCTTTTCCGTTTTGATTTAATTTCAAACATTCTAAATGAAAAATTAAGTATTGATTTTGGTTAATTCATTCATCTTGACGTATGAATGTGTTAAAATTTATAATACACATTTTTACCTCTTATAGATGTAATCAAATCACCGATGGCATTACTAAAAATCATAATATTGTTGTCTTCGCGTGGATAAATTAACCAGGCCAGATAATTGATGGGTTCTTGTAACTTTGAATATATGAATATATTAATAATATATTACAAATAATAAATTACTTATATAAATACATACATCATGAATCTGTGGAAACCTTTGTATGTCGAAAAATGCTTCAATGATCCAATAATGCCATTTTGTGAATGACATTAAAATTATCCAGACGCATTTTCTGTAATTATGTATGGCTGAAGGACTTTGTTCCAAAAGCAAATTACGTCGAAGAGAATTCATTTTATAAAATGCATGAGTTCCAGGAGTATCATTTGCAAGGACCGTAACAAGTCTTTCTAATAATTTGGGAAAATACTTCCAAGTTAATAAAATAATTTAGTATTTTAATTTGTATGTGTACCTTAGATTAATCATAAAAGATTACCTATATTTAATTTTTATAATGATACATACAGAAGTAATATCTAATGGAATAAATCCGTTGCGATCCTTGCTTTCAATAACATGAGTTATGGTGTATTTTATTAGACGTAATACACGCCAATCGGGAGAGACTTCCAAACATTTAATAAACACATCAAAACACAAGCCAAATATCTTCGGATAGTTTATAACTTGATAGAAAAACGGTTTATTTTGGAGAAATTCCGTGATACTACGAGGAGTCATATAATCCTTATTTACTGGAAAAAGTAGCTGTTGAAAAGACGCCAAAGTCTATTCAAATAATAAATTTTAACAATGTCGTTCATAAAAGTTAATAGAATTAAAGAACTCAATAAGTACCTCATGTTCCACTGCGGCATGACAATTGGTCCATAACCTATAAATGACATTAGTTAAGAGTTTATAAAGATTTATAAAAATATTAATTTTTTTTGCAATTCATTAAAAAAAGTTAAAAAGATCTCTACCCAAGCTTGGCTTGATTACAAAGTTTCATGTATATATCATGATGAAAAGATACTAAATACTCCACAAAACGCTCCGATAATATAGTCTCGTATTCAGTATTTATTGTATGATACAACTTGTCTTTAGTCGCGAACAAAATTATGCGTTCGATTAATCCAAACATGTCAGGAACTTGCAATAATGGAATTAGCTGCTCGGAAACATTTTCTATGCATGTCGACTAAATAAAAAAAAAATGGAAATTTATAAAGGTGACGACTAAAGGAATCAAATTCATGTGAAAATTCATACCGGGAGTTGAAACAAACAATTTTCAATGTTATCTAAAAAATTTGTGATGATTGAAACGGCTTCTTCGATGTACGAATTATCTAAATCAGAAGATCCTGCACCACATAAATACGCTAATTTTTCTGTGGCGTTATCACCTTGCGAATGACCGATGGAAATGGTTCGCAATACTTTCAAACACCAATACTTTGGCAGACTTAAATAATAGTAAAAAGTTAATTCAATTCACAAAATAATTTTATTATTATTACATTATCTTACCCTATAAAATGTGTAAACACATTATCCATTTTATCGAACAATTTAGTATATTCTAAAAGGCATTCTATAATTTTTTGACATAAAGTATCATGTAACGTCAAAATCCTAATGCACTAAGATAATGTTTCTTTTTGTCAATAACTGATTGGAAAGTTATAATAAAATAGAATAATTGAGTAAAGAATTACGTACTACTAAATCTTCAAGTATATTTTGAACTTCAGGAAATCTAGTAAAGCATTCTTCAGATGTATTACACTCAAGAAATTGCTAGCGAAAGTATTAAACTGGTTAAAGACGAAATTATTATTACGTGAAAATTTGTAGTCGAGCGCTCAAGTGCTTTATACTTACCTCATGTAGCGCGTCCAATAACTCTGCGAGTCTGTCAACTTTGTTAATAATGTTGACAGTACGCGTTGCGTAACATCCATCAAGGTCCTTAGCTTTTAATTCCTTAGTAAATTCTAAGTCAGTTTTCCAAAAACGCAAGAGTTCTTTTAATTCTTCTATAACAAGCCATTCCATTCCAGCATTTTTGAATTCGATCTTTTAATATTAATAGTCCTTTTCAAAGCCGGATCAGTTACACCAAAATATGTGTAATTATTATAATTTCTGGATATCGAAATTAAAATTTTTTTCTGACTCAATTTAGGAAGCTTTATTGAAATAATATTAACAAAAGAGAAAAAAAAAAATTATTAAAGAAAAAAACTTAATTAAAATAAAAATAAAATAAAATAATTAGTTAAAAAAAAAAAAATAAAATAAAATAAAGTTGCAGATACAGTGTGGGACAAAAAAAACCGGAATTTTTTAAATACATATTATGCAAAAACTAAACGATACCAACTAAATAAAATTTATATATATTTGAAGCTAAAAACTAGCTAATTTTATTAATATTTTTTTTAGAACGGAATTCGTTCACCATTATTTTCTATAATAAGTTCACATCGGCGTTTCATTGATCCTACTAACCCAATTAGGGTCGATTCTGGAATATCGTCCCATTCTTTGATCATATATCGGTGCAAATCATCGGTATTCTTTGGCATTTTCTTCTCCACATTCCTTTTAACAATACTCCAAAGGTTTTCTATCAGATTTAGGTCCGGACTGTTAGAAGGCCAGTCAATAACTTCAGGAAAATTTTCCCGAAGAAATTTTTTGGCATGATTGCTGGTGTGTTTCAGATCATTGTCTTGCTAAAAACGCCATTCATCTCCCAACAAGTCTTCAATCTCTGGAAGGTGGCTACAGAGTATGTTTATATAAAATTCAGCATTCATTATTTGAGAAAAACAATATAAACTTGTTTTTCCTTTTACACAAAATCCTTCTCATGCAAAGATTTTCGTTCGATCTTTAGGTATAAGGCGTATTGGTCATTGTCCTTTATGCCAGCGCTCTACAGTATTCCAGAACAGTTAGAAGGCAGTCTCATCTGAAAACAGAGTTTGTCACAATCATCATTAAGATGGTTTTGGGCCCATTCTACCCATTTATACTCATGGTCTGCGGTCAGCATCAGCGTTGCTCTTAGAAGGTCTTTTTGATATCCAATTTCGACCAAATGTCTTCCTACTGTTCTATAGGATACATCCACACTTTTCGATAACAACCTCGTTAACAGAGTCCTTGTTAAAATAGAAGAATTCCAGCAGACGAATTGGGCTAATGTTCTTGATGCATTAGCCGTAATCTATTTCAGACGACCACTTCCTACTTTACGCTGAATTGTTCCAGACTCATGAAGCTTAGTAAGGTTGTCGTATACAGTCGTAAGGGCAATTCCAGTGTGTTGATGGATTTCCCTAGCCTTCTGAATACCCCAATTCTATAATTGTAAGATTGCATGATGGTCATTTCTTATTAATCGATTTTGAGGGTTTTTTTAAAAAATTGAAAATATTGAGGGGAGGAAATGAAAAAAAATTTTAATATAAAGTAATACAAAAAAAAAATTACATACTTGATTATATTCCTTTTGACATAGTTCAGATCAGACTTGATTTGCATCTTTTTATTTCTCAAAAAAAATTCCGGTTTTTTTTATCCCACACCTTTAGATAGATGCTATATGAAAGGATTTGGAACTGAAGTTAACAATAAATTAGCATTTTATTAGTATCAAAAAGCTGCTGAAAATGGACAAAATGATGCACAAAATAATCTTGCAAATAGTTATTATGAAGGTGAAGGAACAGAAAAGAATTTAGAAATGACATTTTATTGGTGTCAAAAAGCTGCTAAAAATGGATAAATTGGTGCACAAG